TGATGGTTTGGTAGTTCCATGCCAAGCAGGAGATTCATGTGCGAGGCTATAGTTCTTGTATGACTCTGAAGTATGTGCAACGGAGAATGTTAACAGGGTCGGTTTGTGGGCCTCTGTCGGTTTCTGTTGGCAATATTGTTGGGTATCATACGAGTGACGGGTTGGAAGCGTTCGCTGCCAAGGCAGAATATATTCTGGATATTCAGTTCAATTGGGGGGGGGATTCTTTTGAGCTTTACAGGGGCCTTGATGTTCACCAAAAACAAATACGAGTACTGTGGGTTTGAATTTCAACTGAGTATGACTGTCATTGGGTCGTCAGATCTGTCAGATCGCCCCGAAGACGCGTTTGAGCCAAAGAATAAAGCCGAGATTGTTGTAGCAGAATGCAACACGGCTGCTGTAGCACGTGCAAACGATTTGTCATGTGGCGACGATATCGTCGGAAGAGCAAAACCCTGTTGAGCAAAAACGGGATGAGCAAAACCCTGTTGAAGAAGAATCGGCGGGAACAGTCTCAGTTTGACTGCAGAGCGAGGCATGAGCAAGCGCCCATTGGTTGATATCGGCTGAACATTAATATGCAACCGATTTGAAGACGGCGGCATCGACAGTGGTGATCAGACACATGGGTGGACATCATTTACACAGGGTTTGATGTTCACCAAGGGAAGGAGAAGCCCGGTAGGGAGTACTTTGCATGTAGAGAGGCTGGTCTGCTGTTGCCAACGATGACGCATGGAAATTCATGTATGTGAGACGGTGGATCAAAACCCTGGGTCATTTCCTGCTGAGCACCAGCAAGTTCAGTGATGTTTCAACAAGTGGTCGCCCCAACCCTGGTCCAACACCCAGAACCCCTAGATGGCGCTGGATTTTATGCTTCCAAAAGCCGCCCCTTTGCCCTCAACCCTGAGCCTTTCTTGGAAAACCCTCGATTGAATGTGGTTAGTCCTAAAATCGATTTAAAGAACCGGGTGTCCTTTTGCGGGTTCCCTTCTTGGGATGGGTTTAAGGGACACCAACAGGAAGGAGCCACCACTTTGGGGAGTCCAACTCCTATGAGAGACGCCCCACCGAGGCGCATGCAACGCTGGCGGAGCGCATGGAGTACCTGGAAAAGTGGCCCCTCCCTCGGCTCTCGCCCGGTGGGTCAGATCGGTCGGGGCAGGTAGCCTCACGTTGACTCGGCAAGAGGCACCTCACAAGTGCCATAGTGGGAACAAGGGTAGGTGTCAGCTGCAACTTTGACCCCCCTGAAAAGGTGGATTCCCCGTAAGAAAGCGGGGCACCCTCAAGCGGACACAAGCCCAAATAGTTTATAGAAGGATCACTTTCTGCAATTTAGCCCTGTTCTTTGTCGCAGCACTTGCAAGCAGTTTAAGCTTTTCGCACGTGTATCATATTTCTGCTTTGGGATAGAACATTGGCATTAGATCCTGTTGTTTGCCTTTGCCACGTACCAATGTTCTACGCTTGTGACAGGTCTGCTGGTCGAAGAAGACCACAGCTTGCATGCAATCGGCTGGCTTGTTATGGGAGACAATGATCAAAGATATAGGGGTTTCTTTTTTTGGGGAACCCCCCCCCTCTCCGCCCAAAATGGTGGTTTTCCCTTTGGATTCTCTTCCAAACCAACCAAAGAGGTTCCCTCCCAAAAAAGACCCATATGATCATAGGGGAATCCTAGGGAACATGGCAAACCCTGGAACCATGAGGAACCGCAGGGAATGCAAAGAAGCCCTAAGCCCTACAGAATCACTACTTCAAGGGCCTCAACAAACAAAATGGGGCTGTGGAGTCTTTTCCAATTTGACTCACAAGACAGTCATGCAAAGTATTTGGCCCCGGACATTGGCTACTTGGGCATATTAGAATGAGCTTGATCGTGGAAGGCCCCTCTTGCGGAATGCTTGTATCCAATGTGCGAACGTTTTTTGCCCAGAGCTACGGTGGACGCGAACTATATATCAAGCAAGCAAGGGAGCATTCGGACATCAGTTCTCTAAGCTACCCCAATTTACCATACCTTGTCCGAATACTTGTTGGTTACTTGCAATGTGGCAGGGCATCCACAGTATAGAATGCGGGTTTTGACGTCATATACTTGTTGCTTCAGATGATGTACTTGTAATGTCGACCGAGAATACTTGCGATGCATCCTTCGCAGAAATCATATTGCATGGGGTACTCTTCAATATGATTCAGGTTTATTGTAGGGAATTGACATTGCATCATTTGATACATAGAACTGACTTTGCGCAGCCCGCTTCTTTTGTTGACATGACGGCTGTGTTCATACGTGAACCCTGGTCTTGCCTGCTTCAATTATTTCAAGAAGAGGCATCATTGGATGCCGCTCAGCCCAACCGGCGCAGCTGATGCCAATACGTTTGTATCTAATTTGCGAGGGTTTCTCTCAGCTCCGAAGACGTTTTTACAGCGTCATGGTGGTTATGTACTCTTTGGTGCCTGTTGCTTGGATGTTAGGACTTTAACTTTTTGCCAGCTAATGGGCTTTCCATTAAACCACAAACAGTTGTCAGCTTTTGGCAGGGGAGCAGATTTCGCAACCGAGTACTGGTTGCGTGCCGCAGCTTTCGAGGTTCGGAGGCTTGCCCGGCTTTGCGCCGCCGGCGCTGACGCTGACCCCGGAGCGCAGACTCGGGAGCTACGAGAGACCGGACTCGGCGCTGAGCCCGAGCCCCCCGCAGACCTTCTCCAGCCCTTTTGGGCAGTTCCCCAGCGAGCCGTCCTCGCTGAGGTGAAGGAATTGGAGGGAAACCTTTAGGCCAAGCGAATGCCCTGTAGGCCTAAGCAACAAATAGAATGTGCTTTTTCTGGAACCATGAAACTAAGTTAAGACATGACCCTGGGACATATTGTAATTATATTGCCTTGGCCCAGCTGTTTCTCAGCGGTCGGCACATCAAATGGTCGTCTCGACGTATCACCCGAGCTGGTGGGGCCAAAGTTGTGCCCCACGGACTTGCGGACGGACTTGCTGTAAGGGGTACCCCATTTCAATCGTTTGGGTGTCCTTGTTGGAGTTGGTACCCTTTTTGGGGAAGTTGAGAAGGGATACCCAGCAGGAAACCGGCAATTTGTCCATGTTTCTAGATAAGCCGATGCGTCTTGCGACTTTTTTGCCAATCAACGAGCACGTTCCAAAAGGGGTTATGTGCCCTCGGGTAAGTTCTTTTGGAAGAATCAACGTGCCCACAACACGTTCACATTCTCTCCAACCATTCTTGTCAAAAACCAGCAGTTGCCCAGGTCTGTGGTTTCTTTGGAAAGAATGATAGCTGTACTTTCAAGGGATCGATCCTTCTCTTAACGAATGGCACACTCCCTGGGAAACTGGTTGGTTTCTAAAGGGAACGATAAGTGAAGAGAATGGGGACTCCAACCTCTGAAGAATGCGGAAGATCCCCTAACGCGTCACAACATGGGAAGACCCAGAGCCGCTGCAAGGCCGGGCTTTCCCGAAAAATTCTCGCGGGAACGCATCGAGTGGCAAATGCAAATTGAGAAAAGGCTGAAGCGGGAGGTGTCTGGATACGGCCACAAAGTTGAATAGGGAACCACCTCAAAAGTTGCATTCCACATCCATGTAGTCGGAGGTTTGGGGATGAAACCTCCCCGGAGCAGAAAGTAGCTATCTCAGGGGGTATCTCACCGAGGAGATGTCGTTATTTCAGAAAAAGGAAGTTCGGAGGTTCTGTGCGGGTCTTTTGCTTGCGGATGTCATCCCTTGCTTCGGCAGCCTTGGCAGCTGCGGGATTTTTGACTGGCTGGTCAAGGAAACCACCGCAGGGGCGGGATCTTGCACTCTCGCTCACGCGAACTCTTTCCTGGCTACCTGGGAGTTGTCCCCATAAGAAAACACGAAGAGCAAAACAGCGAAAACGCTGAGATGGACGTCAACCACTGGGGGAAACTGTCATGCATGTTTTCGTGGCAGGCACAGCACACGGCATCATGTCGCTCCCACGACGCATCGTAGCTATCTCAGGATTTGGTGTTTGTCCAAGCAAGCGCTCGCGTTTTGTTATTTCTTTCTGCCCCCGCTGCACATCCTGGGAAGGATGCTTTTGTCTGGAAGGGATGCTTTGGTCCGGGGCGGATGCTTTGGTCCGGGGCGGATGCTTTGTGTGTATTTTGTTTGGCTTGGTTTGCCACAAAAGTGGACTGGAGAGGAGTCCAATCCAGAGAGATTGGCAAAACGCCAGCGATAGCAGTGACGGGCCAGGGTACCCATTTTCAGTTCTTCCTTGCAGGTGCCCTTGCTCATAGAACCCGTAGATGGCTGTCACACGCTGCTTCTTCCCCAATAATGGTTCTGTCTGTGCTTTTTTGACGGTACCCTTTATGGCCTTGTTCAAAGAGATATCCATGTGCATGGGATTTGTCAGTTTTATCCTCCGGCTTATTTGTTTGTCATATTCATCCATTTGGAGACAACTCACGTTGGTTGGCCACTAAAATTGTGATTCCGGATTCCTCTTCGAATGCAAGAGAATTGCAGGGAACGAGCCAGAGGAAATTCCGCAGGAAATCCGTGGTTTTTGGTGGGTACCTGAATTTGGCCACAGTTTCCTGCAGCTGGTTTCTATGAACACCGGCATGTTGCATTCTCGTCAGCTGCTAATCCGGCACCCGGATCGGATGGTCGGGCGTTGGCTCCAGGGCCGGGAGAAAAGTGATTTGACCAGGGCTTTCGAAGCGCCCCGAACTGCACTTCCGAATGGTTGCTCGGCTGGCCCGTCCGAGATGTCAAGACTCCCAAACAAGTCCACCCATGCTTCCACCCGGTTTTTGGGGTGAACTTCCCTCAAGAAATCAACAAAAAAGACTCGCCTCTTTCGCCATAGAAGAGGTTGCATAGCACCGAGAGAGCATAAGCATCGGACAGTGGGTGTGTTTCCCCAGATAGGATGCCTCTTTAACACTAGGAGCCCAAACGGCTAGCCTCAACAAAGCCCCAGTCACATCCGGCGGCCAGAGACACTCGACCAGCCAACAGCTTGATGGGCCGCACTCGATGGATGTGCAACGAGAGCGAACTTTCAGAGGTGTGGGCCTCGGGAGCACTCATTTGCCTTTGGTGCATTTTACTTAGATGTTAGTGACCAACTGGTTTTCCATTAAACCACTAAAAGTTAAACTTTCAGCAGGGGAGCAGAAGGCGACCGAGTTGCGGGCATGTCAAAACATGGGTCGGCTTGTCTGCGACCCTGCAGTCTGACAGACCGCCGCGTCCTGACAACATCGACCGTGGGGTTTGCCCAGGCTTTTGCTGGGGTGACCCTCTATTAGGGTGACCCAAGACAAGGAATGCACCCCCCTATGACGAAAACGCGTAGATGCAGCTCTAGACAAAAACAGGTCCAAGCCTCAACCAAAAGCTGCAAAGGGCTTGATACGCCGAAGAGGTCCTCGGGCTTGGGGCCCATGGTTCGTATGAACATTGGCCAATACAGCCCAGCGGCATAAGCAATCGGCCGAGAGGCGCTGCCGGAGCTGCAAACAGGTCCCATGGCTGGTCTCAACTCGTACCCTTTTGGCCAGTGAGGCGCAGAATTTAATTAGGCTCCAAACAGTTGAGGGGTTAAAGGCATGATGCCAAAGAGCAACGGCTGGCTGTCAGAATCATGGACCCCTTTTGAACCCTCCCTTGGAGACGGCACTATCACCAGGTGCGAATCCATATTTGTGTTTGCATCTTGTTTGAGGACTCTTCGCGATCCTTCTGGTGGTTGGCATGAACCAGAATACGGGACCCCTGATATGAGACCCCTTTGTGTGTGGGCTTCTAAGTACTGGCTGTGGCTGATTTGTGAGTGTGAGTACGCATTTGCCACGTTTGCGCTCAAAACGGCCACGCATGGGTTCAAGTAGATTGGACATTTCTGGGCGCGAACCCTCCAAATGGTTTCCTTTGGGTTGTACGTCGAACCACCCCCAGCAAGGGTACTTTTTTCAACCGCTACACTGGTGGCATCATTGTGGAGAATGATAGATTCCTGTGCGACTGAAGTGGAATGACTATTCCTTTGACTACTTTGCCGTGTGATAGGGTAATCCCTTGGAATCTCCAGCGATGAAGAGGTAGAAGGGGAACGGATACTTTGTTGATCTCTCCAACAATCATAGAAGTGGTCTGGAGGCTTCGTCAAACATAAGTCAAGTATTTACTTAGTCCAAACCAAAAGTCTCCGATCATCTTCCATGATTGTTGGAGGAGTAGCGCTCACGTAGAGTAGTCCCAAAATAGGCTTTCTGGGGACTGTTTCATTTCCTGCCTTGTTTGGTCTAAACGTAGGCCAGAAGATCTTGGATTGCCCAGGCATGCGCAAACCGCTCGCAGCCCAGCGAAAGTGGGGGAACGGGAGGACCAAGGCTGAGAGAGGCCAACAGAGTAATCTAATGAACCCAAAGTCCCTTGTTGGTTGTTTCCGAGGGACAAATCTCAAAACACCCATTTTAGAATAGGCCCCCCTGCTTACATCGTTTGGCAAAATCTCTGGTTGCGTTGTGCAAATATGCCACTCCCCTCCAAAAAAAGGAAGATCTTCAGGGTGTCCTTTTTGATTTCCCTGCAAACGCCCTTCGGACCTTCTTGGTTCCCTTTTATGTTCATTTCCCTTCAAGGAGCTGCTTGGCAAGTTTCGTTTCCCTTTCCCTTTTCATTCCCCTTTGGCCAGGAACTTTCCTTTTTTGGTTCCTCGTGCAAATATGCCACTGCAGAAACACTTTGGATCTTCAGGTGTCCCTTTTGATTTCAAAGGCACGGTTTTGCCCTTCGGTCTGGTTGCACGCCAATTGGTTCCCACCGAACCTCCTCTTTGGGTCGAAAACTCCGAGGCCAGACCTGCGCCTCAGCCGGCTTTTGCGGTGCTGGCTCGTTACACGAAGATCAGTGAGTGGAAAGGGGCCATGTCTTTTTTTGTTATAGTTCTACTTTATTATCTCTCTTCTTTTTTTTAGAAATCACAACATTTTTTTTAAACAAAATATTTATTGATTTGTTTATTTCTGATTGAAACACAAAGTGGGCATGACATTCATGCCCCTGAAGTGGGTGGAGATGGCCTGAGCAGTTTTTAACGGACCTGAACCCCTACATGATAAGCAAGCCATTGCGGGCGCCCTACTCAAGCTTACACCCATCTCACGCAAAGCGGACGCCCGCACAAGCGGCGTTCCGAAGCTGGCTGATTGGAGCGCAGGAAGGGGATCTGGGATTGCCAAGCCACGGAAGTGAGAAGAGAGTCTAAGAGATGGTGCTTCATGGTGTTTCCCTTGACACCTTGGTTGAAGAGGGCCGAGAAATTTTTGCCCCTGATTCAGAACCCCCCGCCCCTGGCAGTGGTCAATCAGGAGAATATCCCATGGAAAAGGGAGAAGTGATCCCCGGGAACAACAACAGGGCTTAAATTTTGAGGGGTTGACATTCGGATGCATATCCTGACACCCTCGGACCACCCGAAGCGTTAGGGGTCAACAAGTCAACAAGCCTCTCAGCACCTACGCCTTCGCAGGTCTTAGAGAGGTTGGTAGGGTTAGAGAGCCCGAGGTTTCAGGTGATTGGTGGTTGGTTGAACCAACCAGCAAGGAGATACGCTCATTTTTTCGCCTAGTCTGGGTGTTTGGGTGGCGGGTTTCCCTTCAAACAACAACCAGCCGAAGGGTGTCTCTTTCCCTGGCGACTGGAATCCAGTTCCTTTTGATAAGGGGATATCTCGGGGGCCCTCGAATGAGGACCTCTCCCACGCCAGCTTGGGGGTGATGAGAGCAGCGCCCGTTTCTAGCAATACCCACTTCATGAATCGGTCAGGGTCCGATTGTTGAAATCCCGTGCAAACTAACATGTAACCCAAGAAGCAACCTAGAACCTCCGACCCGGAAGACAGCCTTGGGTTCCGCGTGAATTCGCCTTTCATTCCGACCCTGGCAGGCGGCATCAGCAGAACCTGAGCGTGGAGTTGCTGAAGACTGTGTGGCTGGCAGGGGGACCTGGACATACCACAGGGCTGCATCGCGATCTTCCGGACACGGGGCGAGCACCGCTGCGGCGAGCATGGCTCACCGTTTGAATCCGCCGATGTGAAGACAGCTCTGGTACCAAAAGACTACCATCTGCAAGGGAGTAGGGCGCTTATGGAGGGGCAGCCTTTGAAGTGTGGAGGATCAGTATCGCTTTTCCTGTTCTGCTTTGTGACGTGGCATCTCCAAAATCGATTTAACTTCCTTGCTAAAAGGGGCTTGCCACCCTGTTTTTTGTACAGCTATCAAGAAATTTACTCCAAATCCGAACTGTTAAGCTTTGTGGGAACCCGAAACGTTTAGGGCCTTTTTCCAGCTCCTTGCTCACAAGGCGCCGATTGGCCCGGCTTTTTCCCACATTCCCAGCGGAATCCGCGGAACAGCCCACGTAAGTTGGGTTTATCTGCTTCCGGCTACCCCCAACAACTGCCTTTTGGACAGCACTTTCTGCTTTGGAAGAGCTCTTTCATTGGAGGGTGGTGGTTCATGAAGCATGGGCAGCTGTCCAAAGGGTCCAAGAAAGGGTTTGAATGCGAAACTGCCATGAACATAGCCGCAAATCGAGGGGCCCGTTTCCCTAGCGTTCATTCGCCCACTAGTTGAAAGGAAGATTATACCAAAGGGCCACCAGAAGTGATTGGGAACGGTACCCGGATGCTCCCATGTTGTTTGCAGGTATCTTTTGCACATATTGGCCTATTGATTTCAAGGAGGCCACCCGCTGATTTCTCGCACGGAATGCGGCCTCCACTTGTTAGAGGTCTTATTCGGTGTGGTTCCTGGGCTTCCCTTTTGGCTCTTGGCTGGTGTTGGGTGCAGATGTGAAACCCGATGCTGGTCACGGGCTGAATGATCGCTGATTCCTATGATCATGACTAAATGTGGTTCTGAAGTATCAGACAGACACCACCATTTTTTGCCAGCTCTTATGTTCAGCTCTGCCAATTTCGGCGCCTAGATTGCCCCACAAAGGGGTGGCGCGTATGTTTACCGATTCATGTGTGGGTAAGACTTGACTAGATGAGAGGACTTGGTCTCCTCCTGAAGCTAAGGGGGAGAACGAGGCCAGAAATAATCTGCAAGCAACACTACCTTCACTCCCACGTTTTGATGGCACCTGACAGGGGGTCCCTACAAGACAATGATCTTCCAGGTACCCTCACGGAGGTGCGATGGTGGAAGGGAGGGTAGTCAAATATTGCAAACTGTCACAGGGGTTGCTGTGGCTTGAGGTTTGGCGTCAGAAGTTAAGGCTGCTGCGGTTGCAGGCGGGTCGCGAAAAGCACGAAGACATGCGGAAATCGCGGTTACAGGACTCTGCGATTTCCTTGCCAGGCGTTTCCTTCAACATCACTTTAGATTTCCTCGGAGAGCACAAGTTTTGAACCCATGAAACGGGTGGGGTTCAATGGCCCAAAGCTGCACCATGCGCGGGGCTTTCGGGGTCATGGCGCCCTTCAGGACTCCTCGAGCCAAGCTTGTGCCGAAGAAACGGCGGCAGAAGGAGCATCCTCATCTATTCACCCTGGTTTTGTCTGGATGTTTGGAATATGGATGTTCGAAATTGTTTAACCAGGTACAGGTAGGCTTCCATTTTTGTTGGTAGCCCCAAAGATGACTTCAACCAAGGGGTCCTCCTTTGGGGAAGTTAATCACCCCTAGTTCAAGTCAATCTGGCGGCCCCTTTGATGCTCGGCTGCTACGGGAAAAATCAATTCCCGACTTGCGCGTACTCACACTCCGCAAACTCCGATACCCAATAGCAAAACTCCCACCTGACAGCAGAGGTTGGCGCTGACAAGGCATTTGCGCCATGCCTTGATTACCTCAACATTACAACTCGGGACAACCTTGTCACAAAGGGCCATCCGAGGTCCATTCAAAACCCACTTAGTAAAGGTTTACCGCGGAATGTTCAGAGGTATGGATGCTTATATGCCATCAACTTAAGCTGGTAACGCAGAACATACCCCTTGTTTGGGTGGCATGTCTCACCTCCATACCTCGGAAAGTCCCTTGATCCTGACTTCGGGCATTTTCAGGTCCATTCGAGGTATGGAGGTACTGACGCAAGTTTGCAAGGCAAATATTTTTCTACAAGAGTACAGAACCTCCACGGCTCCAAAACCCATACCAAACGGCCCTTTCAACTTGAAGAGGTGTTGCTTTGCCCGGGGGGGGGGGTTGGGTCAGGGGTTCCTAAACAGGTAGCACCCAGGTTGCAATCGCCAATCATGCGTGTGGCATCTGAAAGGAACCCATTTGTCAGAATCCCTTTGTTGGAAGCCCATTTGTCAGAACCTATTTGGTGGCATTCATTTGTTAGAGCCTGTTTGTTAGAACCCATCAGGGGTCACTCCATTGGGGTTCCGTGTTCGCCTTGGACTCGACGCAGGCGGCGTTTCCAGATGGCCTCAGTGCCTTGGAAGCGTTTGACGCGTCGGTCGGAGCCACCTTGAAGCTTCGGACCGAAAGCCAACAGTGCAAGTGGCCACGCGTTCTTCGGAGGATACCCCCTTTTTGGGTTGGTTTGAAGGGACACCAAGAGGAAAACCACCCTTTTGTGTATTCCCCATTGTTGCACATTCCCAGGTGACTTGCGCAGGATCAAACCTCCAAACGTTCACCCCTGCATGTGTTGTCAGCATTTTTGTGAAAACTGGGACCCCAACAACTAAAATGTTTAATCCTTAGAGTCTGAACAAGTAGGTCAACAGTTGGATAGTACTCGAACCTCAAACAAGCAGGGCGCAAACCATTTTAGGGGGATTCTGCTTTTCTGTGCCATGGGACACCAAATTGGTCTGCCAGGTGCTGCCTCGGCAACACAAGTGGCTGAACAATCACTAACATGTTCCATTTCCTCATCATGACACTTAGTTTGGTTCCTTAAGCTCCCAGCTAATTATTTTCAGGGCACACTTTGGGATACCAACACTTGAGGGACCCAACTGGTGTTCGTCGTAGGTCTGAACCCCAGTTTCGCAGACCCACCAAAACATGACCGCACGGCTCATTTGGGTGTGTCTCAAACTAGGGGTCCCTCAAAATGGCGAGTTTCCTGTTGGTTTCCCTTTAAGAGGGTTAAGAGGGTATACCCTCAAACTCAAAGAATAGGGCCTGCCCCCCCTCTTTTTTTGTGTTTTTCCTTTTGGTTTCAAGGTGAAAGGGGTAAACACGGGTCCCCTCCTTTCGCCGCCCATCCGCGCGGCTCCTCTCGCGCCCGCGGAGGTCTGCTGAAAGCTTGGCAGGGCTGGCGGCTGCTGGCGCGCGTGCAGCAGCTCGCCGGACGCCCCAAGAGAGGGATGGGAGGCGAAGGAATTTGTGTTTTCGTTTTGGCTTGCGAATGCCGAACTAGTAGCTCTTTTTTTCCCAGTAGCCTTTGAATTCTTGCGATTGGCCTGACGTGTCAGTTTCCAACGAGCATGGAAGTGCACAAGGCCTTCACAAAGCACTCAGGGCACGCTCCGGGGAGGCGACCTGGAAGCCTTCAAAAGGGGGAGGTTCGGCCCAAGGTTATAACCTACTTCTAAGTCCACTTAGGTGGGGTTGTCCTTGTTATCAGGGAGTTGTAGTCTGTCAAGATCAACGGAAACCCCGGGTCAATAAGGAAAGGGTTTCCGAGCCATCTTTTTACGGAGTCTCCCAAAGTGGCAGTTTTGGACACCACCGGTAAATTCGCAGTTTCCTTTGGTGGTTGAATCCGGATATCAGGGGCCCGACACCACCCGCCAATACACACGGGTGTAATCCGGGGTCAACAGTAGGGTGACCCCAAAGAATACGGTTGCCCTTTTTGGTTTCCGTTAACGCCAGCCCCAAAGTACGGGTATTCTCAAATCGCCCCAGGCGAGGGGGACCACGCCCCAACATCACGCCCCAACATCTAAGGAGACCCCAAGACATCTCACCCCAACATCCTGACTAGACGCCGCAACATCTTAAGCAGCTCCTTCACACTTTACTCCAACATCTAAGATCCGAGCGCGGACTCCCAGGCATCCAAACATGTGGGAAACCATCTTTTCCCTGCGCCACACAAAGGCGCACAAACATCTTCAGCAGCGCAACAACATCGATCAAAGCGCTCAACGATACTTGTGACCGCGCACGGCATGCTTCCGAGTATCGCGCGCGCAAGGGGCGCGTCGCTTGTGTAGAATGACTCGCTTCCTCCGCATGCTGCCGCTCGTTGCTTGCCGGATTCCCTGCTTTGCGCCGCACGATGCTCTGCATATTGCGCAGGATGCCCTGCCGCACCTCGTGCGCACCATGCTTCACATGGTGTGTTCTATTTTGAGTTTATTTGCTAGACAGTGCTAGCCAGGTGGCTAGCTTGCCTGGTTGCAGCTGGTCTGAGCACGGGGCATACAGTTTAAAGCGCATCGCAATCAGCTTTTATAACTTATTCCCACGCAACAGGCATGTACCTACCCCGGTGACAAACTTTAGATGCGTAGCGGTGGGGGGCTCACTCTTCGTGCAAACGAGCAGCAGCAAGATTCCGAGCAGGATGCCTTGTTTCATAGCGCAGGATGCTCTGCTACACGCGCAGGATGCAATCCTGCTACCTGCCCCTAATTTCTGAAGACTCAAGATTTGCGGATGTTGCGACGCTTCTTTTAAAGCCTCGAGAAGAGAGTAGCCAGCTCGCCCGCCTTCGCCCGCCCCCGCCCCACTAGCCTGCTCGCCTGCCGCCTCAGCGTCCAAAGATGATGGCCGGGCATCTTATGTTGCCATTCTTTGCCATGTAGCATCAGCTTGCGCCATATTGTGTGTGTGTGCTTTTTTTTTGGGGAGCCGCCCAAAATGGCGGGTTCTCTTTTTGGTGTCCCTTTTTCAAGACCACCAAAACGGGGCGCCCTCGGAAGACGACAGCACCCGTATCCTTAAATTTTGGTTTGGGTTTGCCTTTTGGCCCTTGCAGAGGACGCGGAGAACCGGGTCCACAAATCGTCCCAACGGGCTCTGCTTGGTGACCCGACCCCGGAAGTTCGAGTGAGGCTAATCCCCCCCCAATGTGGAACCGAACCATACGGCCAAGCTGCAATTTCATAGTGCAAGCAGTGCAAGTGCAAGGCCCTTTTTGGGGTATGACGTTTTTTCGTGATCCTTTGGGCATGTGGTGATTTCTGTCAAGCCACCGAAATTTGAACATTCGGGTGCCGCCGCGAAAAACCTTCCTGGCCTCTCGTCGGATCCGATCCTTCGCCGATCGATCGCTCCATCCGACGCGGCGAAAACGGAAGAGGCGGCGCTGCGGGAGCACTCGGCCGCGCTGAGTGGCGATGCCCTGCAGGCCGCCGAGGAGAACTCGGGAAATCGGAGAAACAAAGAATCGGAAAGCGCGCGCGTTTGTGGCGTGGTGACTTCCAACGAGTTGCGGAACTCGGCACTTTCTTCAAGCACTTATCCGTGTTCGGTTGCCATTTGAGTGGTAAAATGAAGAGTTGGGGGACTTTTTGTGGGACAAACACAGGAAGTGGGTTGTCACTGTCTGTGATGAATCCCCTTTGTAATGTTGGCCCCAGAGCAATAACCCCCTGGTGTTTTTTTTTTGAGTGCGCGGGGTGTTTTTTTCCGGTAAACGCCGGGATGTTGTGACCACTTTTGGAGGGAACGCCCCTTGATTCATAGGACGGGTTTCTGAATCTGGGGCCGACGCTACTGCAGCTCTGGCTCGGGAAATGGGATCACCGGCTCGCCATTTTTGCAAAATGGAAACATAGGAACCCATTGATTCAGCGTAATTTACTCATTTGGTTTTTGAGATCTGCTTGCTGATATTGAGTTGGCATCCATCCAATTGGAGGAAGATTTCGTCTGGGGCTGGCTTAGATATTCCAGTTTCCCAGAGGGTTCCTTCCTGTTTTAATCTGTTTTTGCGCGATCTTTTGGGAAGGGTGATTACAGACAACAGACACCGGCCAAGAAACGGAATACAAGTGCCTTGGCACAATGCCAATACGGGTACGTCTCAACGTGGGGCATGTCGACACACACGAGAAAAACACGAACACAATTAATCTGGGTGAGTCTTCTTAGGGCACGCCTTCAACATTGTGTGTTTCCTGTTGGTTTCCCTAACACCCCCCAAAACGGTACCCTCAAAAAGACAGGCCCATTGGTTGGTTTCCCTTTGGTTGTCCTTAAGCCATAGACACCGGTTCCCGAATTTGAGACTCGGAAGAAGCGGAAGCTATGAGACCTTGGCCCCCAAGAGGACCCAAGCCAAATTGATGTTGAAAAATGGGTGTGTCTTTGTACAAGGGGCCCACATCCACATCTTTTGGTCTTCCTCTTGGTTTCCCTTTAAAACCCCATGTGAGGGGTTTCCGGCCATCGAGACAGGAGGGTTTTGGTTCCCAAAGCTTTCCCTCTTCTCACTTCCAAGGAGTTCCGGAACTCGGACTTCCGTCACTTCTCCGTGTTTGGTTGCCATTTGAGTGGTAAAGGAACAGTTGGGGGACTTATTTTGGGACAATCCCCTAAGTGAGTTTTGGGGAGGCCCTGTGTCAATGCCCACAAGTCAATCGCTTTTAGCAAGGGTTCGGCTGAGAAAGCAAAGAACAGGGGGACAAATCGATGGCAAATGGGACCAAACCGAAACCAGGGCCATCTATTTTCCACCGACTGACCTGAAAACATCCACATCGTACCGGTTGGTGGGTGGTTTGCCAACTAGTTGTCAAATCAAGTTCATCAATGGCTGGTGCGAAGCAGGAGGCCAATCATACCAGGCCCCAACTAGCTACTGCGCCCCGCGCTGGTCGTATTCCGTCCATGATTCATGTATAACCCTTGCTTGATGGTTTGGATGGTTGGGGGATGTGAACCCCGGCGGTAAATGGGAAACCACCCCTGACCCTTTCCTGCAAACCACCAATCGAAGCCACCTAACTAGGGGCAAGATAAAGTTTCTGTTTTCACTTTGGCTTGTATCTGCAGGACAAGCCCAAAGGACCCGATCATCTTTTGGGGGGACCAACTTCTTGAGACAGAACCGCATGAGTGTCTGTGTGTGTGTGTGTTTTCTAGAAGGCCACCCCAAAACGAGTAGTTGTTCTTTGGTTTCCGAAAAAAAAAAAAAAAAAAAAAAAAAAAAAAAAAAAAAAAAAAAAAAAAAAAAAAAAAAAAAACTAACCCCGCAAGAAGGGGGTTTCCCGAGGCCTCCAAAAATCCCTCTTCCGCCTCAACAACCACCTCTTCCCACATGGTTTCCCTTCCAAACTCACCACAAAGGGGTACGCCTCCAATAAAACACCCCATATGGTTTCCCGAGCCTCTTCCGCCTCTTCCGCGAAAGGTCCGGTTGACTCCGATGTCTCAGGACCACCTACAAGTCCTGGAGCAGCGGCGCACAGCCGGGGACCCCAAGCCCAGGGATCGGGGCTCGGAACTGAGCCGAAACAAAAACCACGAACCCTTTTGTCGTAGGGGGCCCTTTAAAATGGCTGGTTCTCCATTTGATGTCCCGAAAAAGAAGAAGAAAAGAACAAAAAAAGACAAAACAACACCAACCAACAGCGGCCCAGAAAAAGAAGAAAACACCCCGTGTTTTTGTTTTTGAGGCGAAGGGGGCCCTTTTCAGCTTGGCTTTCATTGGGAAACCGAAGAAAGGCATGCCTGGGCCCTTCTGGGATCCAGAAAAGTACTTGAAGGGAGCTACATCCCGAACCCGGGAGCCCCGAAGGCAAGGGTTCACCTGAGCATCGGACGAAATGGCCGGTCAATTGTTCGTTTGGGACGAATTTGCCATCCGGGCCTCAGCTTTCAACCGCAAAGACTCTGTAGGCGGCTCGTGCACGCAATTGTTTTCCTACATCCTCTCATTTCGACAAGCGGTAACGAGGTTACCTTGAAGGTCTCTTTGAGGTTTCAACTCATTTCAGTTTGGGATCATTGGTGGGAATGGATTGCCCCTGAACCGAATAGGTGTGCCACTGCACCTTGTACCCTCCCTGGTAGAAGGCAGTGGCTTTGAACGGGTCTCTTTTGATGTTCGTTTTGCTTGCCCCTGGACCACGATGGTTGAAACCGCGGACACAATACACAACCACGCGTTTGCGCCTGAGCCAGTAGATACCCAATGCTACTCGCACACCTAAAGCAAGCAACGTGGTTGTGCCGAAAAACAAAAACAGGGGGACCCCTAGAAGTTACAATGGTGGGGTCCTTTCGTTTGGCCTTGAGCACCGAACGGCAGATCCCAGTTTGTTCATATCAATGGGGAAGCGACCCATAGTTGTTTTTTTCAATAGGGTTTGGGATGTACACTCCCTGAGTTTCCGGACCTTATACTTGATGGGAAGATCATTTGTCAAATGCGTGCATGTAAGATGGTGTCACACAGTGTCATACGGTCAAGCGGTGTCAAGCGGTGTAGAGATGTGTCAAACCACACAGTGCCATAAGGGTCAAGCGGTGTCAAGCGGCGTCAAGCGGTGTAGAGATGTGTCAAACCACACAGTGCCATAAGGGTCAAGCGGTGTCAAGCGGTGTAGAGATGTGTCAAACCACACAGTGCCATAAGGGTCAAGCGGTATCAAGCGGTGTAGAGATGTGTCAAACCACACAGTGCCATAAGGGTCAAGCGGTGTCAAGCGGTGTCAAGCGGTGTCAAGCGGTGTAGAGATGTGTCAAACCACACAGTGCCATAAGGGTCAAGCGGTGTCAAGCGGCGTCAAGCGGTGTAGAGATGTGTCAAACCACACAGTGCCATAAGGGTCAAGCGGTGTCAAGCGGTGTAGAGATGTGTCAAACCACACAGTGCCATAAGGGTCAAGCGGTGTCAAGCGGCGTCAAGCGGTGTAGAGATGTGTCAAACCACACAGTGCCATAAGGGTCAAGCGGTGTCAAGCGGCGTCAAGCGGTGTAGAGATGTGTCAAACCACACAGTGCCATAAGGGTCAAGCGGTGTCAAGCGGCGTCAAGCGGTGTAGAGATGTGTCAAACCACACAGTGCCATAAGGGTCAAGCGGTGTCAAGCGGTCAAGCGGTGTAGAGATGTGTCAAACCACACAGTGCCATAAGGGTCAAGCGGTGTCAAGCGGTGTAGAGATGTGTCAAACCACACAGTGCCATAAGGGTCAAGCGGTATCAAGCGGTGTAGAGATGTGTCAAACCACACAGTGCCATAAGGGTGTCAAGCGGTGTCAAGCGGTGTCAAGCGGTGTCAAGCGGTGTAGAGATGTGTCAGACCACACAGTGCCATACGGGTCAAGCGGTGTCAAGCGGCGTCAAGCGGTGTAGAGATGTGTCAAACCACACAGTGCCATAAGGGTCAAGCGGTGTCAAGCGGTGTAGAGATGTGTCAAACCACACAGTGCAAGCGGTGTCAAGCGGCGTCAAGCGGTGTAGAGATGTGTCAAACCACACAGTGCCATAAGGGTCAAGCGGTGTCAAGCGGTGTAGAGATGTGTCAAACCACACAGTGCCATAAGGGTCAAGCGGTGTCAAGCGGCGTCAAGCGGTGTAGAGATGTGTCAAACCACACAGTGCCATAAGGGTCAAGCGGTGTCAAGCGGTGTCAAGCGGTGTAGAGATGTGTCAAACCACACAGTGCCATAAGGGTCAAAGGGTGTCAAGCGGTGTAGAGACGTGTCAAACCACACAGTGTCATAAGGGCCAAACGGCATCAAGTAGACGTGTGAACCATGTTCGCAGCTGTCAAGCCATGTTTTTCTAAATGGAGGCGGTGCCTTAAACGGTTTTAAACGGTTCCCACGGTGTCAAGCTGTTGCAGAAAACACAAAACCTTGATGCTTTGCTGTAGATACCCCTTTTTACCTTGGCTTACAGGGAAAGCCAAAAGGGAACCACTATTTCTGGGGTCCCCTTTGCACACATACTCAAGTACAGTTCCGGTGGCTTGGCCGCTTGCTCCAATGTGCCGCTGCCGCGCGAGAACCATCAACTCTCGGGGTACGCGTGCAGAGGGACGCTGATTTGATGGCAGACAAAGGGAGTGCCAAAGGAGTTGGAATCCAAGCGGTCTCCCGGATTTGTCGGTGAAAGTGATCGCGGACAAATCTCTGCAACTGTCGAAATTAGAAAATGCCCGTTGCTGGCACCGACTTCGGTTTCGCCTGCCGCCCGGGCAGTTGAGCGGTTCACCGCTTCTCCACTCAGCAATGATTCCTCGTTTCCTTTGGAACCATGGGATTTTCGGCCGTGCACTCTGGAGTGGACCTCTGGTGGTTTCAGAGGGAAGAAAAAGGGAAGGCCCGGTAACCCGGCTGGAATGCAAAGGGAAGCCAAACGGGGAAAGTGATGCAACTCACTTCCCGAGTTCCTGGACTTTGTATCTGGGAGGTCTGCAAAGCTTAGCCAGCGGATTTGGAATTAGTCATGGCCCTGACTTGACACGTGCCATTCCCAAATCTGTTTTTTCTCTCCGGGTGCGCTTGGCTGAGAAAGAGCCCCGGGAACTCCGTCTACTTTCACCCCAACCTGTTTGAGGCTTGAGGTCAAAAAAGGACCAACGCTTGGTCCAGAAGTCCGGCAACTTTTTCTGACTCCCCGAATTGCAGGACCCCGCCTTAAGACCTCTGGGAAGAGGAGACTCTGCATGGGACAGAAGGGTACTACCTGCATTGCGAGTTGCTGCTTTTTGTCCATCCACTTTACCCCGGGGACTGAAAAAAGCTGCAACTTGGCTATCTAGGTAGCCACTTACCAGGGCGGCGCATCTGACAGCTTGTTGTTTCCATCACTAGCTGAGATGTTGGTTCGCTTTTTGTTCTTGCATTCATGAAAAAAGTCGCCGGTGAAATTGGCCGGCGTGTTTAAAACGGAAGGCGCTGGGAGGGACATTCCGCTGGTTCTTGTAGAGGGTACTTGGGAAGCCGTCACCAACCTCCAAACCTCCAATCAAAACCAACACCTATGAGGCGACTGTGGCCCCGATGGTTCGCACTAGAGCAACTCTTGCCATTGGAAAGTGGTACCATTTTAGCCATTTCAGCGGCGATATGGCAGTTGATTTGACTAGGGCGACCTCAAAAAAGGTGGTTGCTGGACATGAATCACCCCCGAAATGTCCACCAAAGGGACACCCATGGCTGTGCATCAAAACCCGACCTTTTGACCTTTGTTTTGTGGTCCACTTTTAGCAAAGGTCCCCATGTGATCACCCTGTTATTCCTAGGTGTGTGTGGGTCAAAATTAAACCACAAATCCGCAGGTGTTGGTCCATGTTTTCACGTACCAGGGATCCATTTGGTCGCCTATTTTTGACCCACCAGGTAAGAGCAAGCGACACATAGTGGCTGCTCCAAAACAACAGCCCCAAGTTCCTGGCGCTAAGGAGCAGCGGCTTTTCGCCGAGAAGCTGGACGCAAAGCTCTCCAAAGCGCAAGCTCAGCTCTTAAGGCGGTTTCTGGGGCCACCAAAGGAGGGGATCATAGATGTCCTTTTTGGTTCGCTGGGAAATTTTTCGGGCCCTGGTAGACCTATTGGTTTAATCACGGGCCATCTAATTTTCCCAAAGGAGGCCTAGGATGTGTCAACACAGGGGCCCCCCCCGAAATGGCTTCGGCTTGCCTGTTGGTATGCCTTGAAATCAACCCCAAACTGGGTCCACCCAAGCGAGCATGTTGAGGGATTCTTAGGGTGGTATGGCCCGGATTTCGTTCCTTTCCAGGGCTCCCCAACCAATCCATTGGTTTGTGATTTTAATGGCATCCTAGATTTGGAGCTGTGGGGGTTTGCTACGAATATGCCTTTGGAATCACAGAGGTCTTTCGGATCAACCAAGAGATCTTCGGGGAGGAAGTCATGGGATGGCTCATTTCGGGGTGTGGGTGGCTCAATTTCTTTTCGAGACGGCAAGTTTTGGTATTTCAATTTACCAGCGTTCCATTTTTAGGCCTTATTGTTGAGCTGCGCATCATTTGTCTCCGTTTGTTTCACCCCTGAGACCGGCGTTCTGAACTGGTCGTTTGCAGGCTGACAGTCTGGCAGTGCTGGAGCAGTTGCACCCAGAAAGAGAGCCTGGGGCTCAGAAGTGTCTGGTCGAAGGTGCAGGCAACAAAGCTTAATACGGGACCCCCTGCGAAAGGGGGGCTGGACGAAGCTTGCTGGCGCTCAGTAGGGAATGCCCTTCCGGGTGTTGGAATGAACCGGTACATATCTATGAGTGCCCCAATACTTACCCTTGCAAAAGTGCAGTACCTGCCACGAAATCTGCACCTCACCAAAGAAACCACAGGGGACGATTTTTTCGGGACGGGGTCATTCCAACTCATTCTCTGCCTATCGAACCCAGGCAAATCCCGTGTATTTTCCGATGGCCACCAAAGGACGGCAATTTAGATTAAGCGAGACGACTTCAGAGCATCCATCTTGCCATCACCTTCGGCTGGGGACCCCAAGAAATCTGGGTTTCCTTTTTGGTTTCAACCGCCTCCTTTGCAGGTTTGTGGGGAGGGGGTTAGACGACCACCAAAGAGGCGGGCTTTCCTTTTGGTGTCCCGTCAAGCCCACCAAGGGGTTCCAAGAGCCTCAAGCCCACGCTTTTCGGTTTTGATTTCGAGGAAGTGCGCGCCTGTGCCTGCAGCGGAGGCTGCTTGGCATGCAGAACATCCCCGGAGTTGTCGGGGCGCGGTTGGTGTGGTTGACTTGATGGCTAGTAAATAACGGATCTTTAGAGTTCATAACTGTTTCAGGTTGAATTCCATTGGCATGTCCATTGAACCCACAAAGCGTCAAGAACAACTTGTTCAGAGGGGTCAACAGCCAAGTTGGTTGCCACCAAAGGGAATGACACCTATCACGCTGCCCTTTTAGCAGATGACTTTGCTGAGGTTGTTAATTCTATTTGGAGTTAACCAGACAATGTGACTCTGGGAGCGTTGCTGAAGCTTCAGCGTTTGCGCAGTTAGGGGCCAACTGGTACTTGAGAATTGTACATACAACTGAAGACAAGCTTACCTGAGTTTTTAAACCGCCAATGGAGGTTGATTTTGGGTTCCTTCTTTCCACTTCGTGATAGTCATGTGCCTGGATCCAACCGACGACACGAATGTGGATGAACGAAATCCTTTCGCACCACCCTGAAACCATGGTTGCAGCCATTGTTTGTTGGTATTTCCGGCGGGGAATGGAATCAGAAGCCGTTAGGTTTCTGAAATCCGTTGGATTTCGCGAGATTTGCGGATATCGCGAATCCATGCATAGCATGGACCAAGGACTTGTCTTCAGCCTGTGATGCCTATAGGATACGTGCTGCATGGTGGGCTTTTACGCCTTGAGACCAATGGAAAGTCGACACTGGAAGATCCGAATGGAGCCAGCCCAAGTTGTCATTGATCGATTTTCCGATCGAGTTGACATAGGTTTGAGTCGGAATTCGTCTATACCTTGGCTTGTTCTAGAACTATCGGTTTGGATCGCTTCCAGTGCAGTCTTTTTTGCCACCCTCTCTTCAGACTTGTGGGGAATTCGGCCGTGAGACAAAGGCTTGGGATAGCTGGTCGGGGGGGGGGCGGGGGGTTGGTTCCACCACGGGCTAAGATGAACGGGCCTGATCCATTGCAGATGTTGCCGTACGGGGGTCTATTTCCCGATGGGTCCACCCACCTGAAAAGATCGTCGCAAGTGGGTGGCTATCGGTTTTGGATGCCCATTTCCTGTTGGCTTCTGGCAATTGAGCATTGATTTGAGCAGCCGGGTCCCAAGCCCACTTTCTTTGCTCCGCTCGCTCTCGCCGTGGTCAGACCATGCCCCAGCTGGGGTCTGCTCCAAAGCTAGGGTAGACTAACTATGGGTCACTTGGACAATCCAATCAATCAGGAAAAGTCAAGAGGATGACATCCCACATGACTGGAAGAGGGGCATCCCCCAAGCAACGGGCCGCGCCTTCCCTGTGGAAATACTGCATGGAAGGCCGACGTGCTCAAGCAGGGAGATTTGTTCCGCGTAACACCCTGAAAGTGTCATAGTGGAAACAAAAGCGCGACAGAGTACTCACCAAAAGCATCCACCAGGACATTCTATCGTTTGGAGCGGAGTTGAGGGTTCCTTATTTTTTTGGATTTGCATGGCAAAGGGAACAAGCTGAAACCTAGCGGCCGATTTCCATGTGCTGCTTGAGCGGAAGGGGGACGATGGTATACTCGAGTCCCCTTCTCTGCGGCTTCCCAAACGCAGCCCGCCAACGGAGCATGCCCTTGATCAGTTGCCCATGGTCAGCCCCAGGCTCGAGATCCAGCCCATGGAGCCGTCTCCCCCCCCCCCCCGTTTCAATTCCAAACAAGCGCAACCAGAGACTCATTGCCGGGATCTGAAAACAAGCAGCTGGTACATGACAAGTGCTCCCACATCGATCAGAAAGTTCCAAAATGGCACATGGGGAGGTGTTCCTGTTGTTTTTATCAAACGCATCAACCAGGGGGCTTATGCATCCTATACTCCCACTCATTTGGGGGGAGGTTTTGAAGAGAAACCAACAGAACATTGGGAAACCTTCAACATTAATGTTGAAAACGAGCCCGTTCAGCATTCTTTGCAAGCCTCACTTCTGCGTGTGGGCTGGATCTTCAGAGGTATGAACAGTACGGGACAACCATTTTCACTGAGGTTGCCACTGGGTGGCTGCAGTATGTCCTGGAAAGGGTCCAACGCGTGGATTGCCGCGAGCGTCAAAGACATTGGGCTACCAACTGAACTTGAGTGCCACTGGAGCGCGCGCGAGTTGCGCCCCAAATCCTCTCTGCGGCGTGAATTTTGGCTTTGTGTCCGGGCAGTCAGCGTGTAAGCAGTGACGCGAGCCGCAAGACAAGCAGTTCCCCAAAAAGGAGCCTCTGTGACAAGCCAGTCGTGCCTCCTGGCCCTTTGGAAACTAGGCGCCGGTCAGAAACACTTAAAGTCTGTTGCGGGGAAGGCGCAGTTCGTTGGCTTGCGGTTGCAGATAATCCTTTCCCCCCATTAAAAAGGTCCCCCTAATTAAAAAGCACAAAAGTCATATGAACTACATGGAAGGTATGAGAAATCATACAGTGAAGCAAGCAAGAAGTTCCAGCTTCCCTGACCCCAGCTGAGGCGCCAGGTCTGCGGAGCCCTGGCTGTGCAGCAGGCGGAGGCCAAGCTGAAAAGTTTGGTGAAGAGCTGGCGCCAGGTTGCCAGAGACTCAGGAGCAATCCATCCACCGGGGAGGGATTGGGTTTGCGTTTTCCGTTTAGTGGCCCCCCGAATAGAGTTCGGTTTAAACAAAGTCTTGGCAAGCCAGCCCAAAAAACAGCATCCACATAGGGGCTGCCCCACCCAAGCACTTGCTTCCGATGTGTAGGTATCCTTTAGGAGGTCTGACAAACGATTTCTATGCACCAGCAACTGTTTTTTGATTTTGAGTACGGGGTGGCCTATTTCGAGTGGGGTGCTCGGTATCCCAGCAGGGGCGGGGGGGCCCTTTTTGTCGCGGCACTTGCGCCAAGGTCCAAAGAACTCATGGACTGAAGACAAACATTGCGGACCCACACGCATTTGGAGTGCCGCATTTATGGCAGCTTTGGGCTGCAACTTCAGCTATTTTCACCCACATGCCTGGGATCTTCAACAACTAATATGAATCTGAAGCTATTATCAAGTCCAAGGAGCCTAGTGTGGGAGGGGAGGGGGCTATCCCTGGATAAGTTGTGCAAGGACGAGCCAAGGATAAGCCAAGGATGAGGCCTTAGCCCGAGTTAAGGGGGGAAAAGGTGATAGCCGCCCTCCCCATTGGAGGTGTATGGCAAACCCGTGCTTGGATGTCAAACCTTCGTCAGGGAAGTACACTAGAACCACAGTTTTTAAGAGCGTCTGGGTTGCTCGGTTCGGACTTGCAACTTGGCATGGCCAATCTTTCATTGCCAACATCAGCTGACCTTTGCAACCTTTCGTCCTTCTGGGTTTCCTTCCATTTTTCTTCTTCACGTGTGTTTGCGGATAATCCATGTAGGGTTTAATTCTGCATTTGTCAATGAGTTGGTTGGCGGATCCGCACGGTGCGCGACGCTGTTGAGGCGATGCAGTTGCAGCACCGGAGCGAGGCGACCGGGATGCGGCCAGAAATCAAGCCAGGGCTGGCTGATGTACTCCCACATTTAAGGGGGCTCTGGACTGCGGGACGACTCCGTTGCAGAAGTCTTCTCAGTTTCTGGAGGCTTTATTTTTTGGGACGCCTTTATTTTTGGGTACCCCCCCCCCCAAAAAAAAAGCAAAGAAGAAAAAGAAAAAGAGATGCGTGACTGTAGGCGTACCTTTTTTTTTTCCGATTCGGTCGTTGATTCCTGTCGTACTCGTGCTGCTTTTGCTGTTCCTTTGCCTGGCAAAGCGTCCGGGGGGACGCTTTGAAACTAGGCTTCTGGGTATTGGCTTGTCGGGTGCCCAGTGTTCTAAGGACTCGGGTGACTTCAATCATTGTCAAATTGAGGGTGAGTTGTTATATTTTGTCCAGACATCGTGATGGAAGAAAGGAAGGAAGAAAGCAAATCGACGGAAGATGGCTTAGTTTGCGGTCATTCACTCTGGGAACCGCGCCCAGAATCTGAGAGGCTGTTTTGTGGCTACCCAGAGGGCTTGATGATGATGATGATGATGATGATGATGATGATGATGATGATGAGGTGACCCAACCGAACTTAGGGTTGAGGCACCCAGAACTACCCAGAGGGCCAAGATACCGTCAGCCCTCTTCCAAACCTTGGGCTCCGCGCTGTTTTCGCTTCAGGCGAGGAGGGCCTTTCTGGAGTTCCAGCTGCTGCGCTGCAGCCGCCAGCCTGAGATCGATCCGCCCGCGCCGCGCACTGAAAGACGGACCTCCCCCAAAGGAGCGTTCTACGGCCATGTTGTAAGTGTTCCACGGCCAGCTCGGTGCACGGTTTCAGGGTTCCGGTTGTTGATTGATTGCCCCAATCCGGGAGTTGAATTGGGGGCCTGATCACCAAGATGAAATTTCCCACCTTGGAGAGTCAATTGAAAATTTGAGCCACAATCAAAACCCGGGTAGATGAAGGTTAATAAGGGGCAGCCCCAGCCGGAAATAGTTGAGGCCGCCTTCTTAATTCTTTACATGGTTCTGGGTAGAGCATTCAAATGCCGGGTTTTGAGCAAGTGACTCAAAGCGTTTTAGCGGTACGTAAAAAAGTTCGGACTGGTTTTAGCGTCAAAAAAAGAGGTGGCCCCTGTTTTTTGACTTCCTGGACTTGAGCCGCTTTTTGGGGGAACATGTGGCAAATGGGTGTGGCTCAAAATGAAGGAGCTGCAAACCGCAGGTTTTGGTCCATGTGTCCTACCAGGGTTCCATCCTGGTGCTGGTGTTTTGGGCCACAGCCAAATGGGGAAAGTTTGGGAGCTTTTTTGGCCATTCCACTGAGAAGAAGGCAGAACAACTACACAAAGAAGTCTAACTTGATTGGTTTTCAAGTACCCCACAACCCCAGCCCAATTATTAGGCCGATGCATATCATGCGTGTGTTTCAAAACTGAAGACTTTTGTTTGCATGCTTTTCCGAGGAAGCCAAACGGATGTCACCCACTATAAGGTGTTGAGAAACACCCAGATGTGATTCTGGTTGGTGTTTCTTGTTAGGCCTCATTTGGGACTTCAGTGCGTTTTTTTTTTTTTGGTGTGTGTGTGTGTGTGTTTTCGCCGAGTTTTGCTTCCTGTGTTACTTGTGTTTCTGAATATATATGTGAACCTGACCATCAACAGTCCTCCTCTTTTGTCGAAGACGGTGTTTAGTGGCAGTTTGTCCAAGACTCCATCATTCATTGCTGGCGGACCCACACGCATTGTGGCTTCAGTGTCTTTCCTGCTACTTTGACCGTGCTTCTTCTCTGAGTGTTATGAAACGCGCATCCGTTCTTCGCGCAGCAACGGATCCGATGTTTTTTTTCTCCTAGGGCTGTTTTTTTGGCTAGGGGTGGGTGGGTGGGTGGGTGGGTTGGGTTGGTTGGGTTGGTTGGGTTGGTTGGGTTGGTTGGGTTGGTTGGGTTGGTTGGGTTGGTTGGTTGGTTGGTTGGGTTGGTTGGGTTGTTTGGTTGGTGGGTTGGTGGGTTGGTGGGTTGGTGGGTTGGTTGTTTGGTTGTTTGGTTGGTGGGTTGGTTGTTTGGTTGGTGGGTGGGTGGGTTGGTGGGTTGGTTGTTTGGTGGGTGGGTGGGTTGGTGGGTTGGTGGGTTGGTTGGCTGCATCCCTGGCATCGCCAGCCTCACTTGGCCCTGGGGCCGCGTATTGGCTCTGACTTTATGGCAGTTGGGAGTTGCTGGGTGGGGGCTGGTTTAAGTTCGGTGGGTTTTGGCTGGCTTTAGATCTTGATCAGGGTGGGTCTTGGGGTGGTTTGGGGTTGATTGAGGAGAGGCGAAGGGCTGACATCCAGGCTGCTGTTGGGCGGGTTCAGGGTTGACTTTGAGTGGGTTTGGGTTGGTTGGGTGCTGATTTGTGTTAGGTGTGCTGCTGGTTTAGCAGCGGGTTTAGGGTTGCCCCAAACCACCAACTGCCCAACAGCAGCCTGGAACCCCAAACCACCCCAAGACCATGAAGATCTAAGCCAACCAAAAGCCCACCAGAAATCGGCACTAAGCACGAAAGTGGTCAGGGGTGCATTGCAGGTTGTCACTTTATAGGGTTGGTTGCTTACTTTGTGCAAAGAACGCATGAGTTTAACAAGGGTCTGCTCACTTGATAGTGGGAGTCTGCACAGACTTGCAGCTGAGGGACCAAAACTCTCGTCGTCCATTTCACTATTGAGTTCAGGAGGGTTAGCGTCAGCCTTCAAAGTCTTGGTATGGCAACAAGTCCATGTCTTACAGTGAACAACTTGCCTTGGACGCGACACACTCGTCATAGGGCTGGTCCATTCGGCCCGGCGCATTGCTTGCAGCTGTGGGGTCCAGGCCAGCTGGACAAGGAGTGGCTGAGCACGGTGCTTGTCAGGTGGCCGGCGGTCCCAAAGACGTTTGCGTTTGTTTCGGCGGCTTTGCGCAAGGGAAGACAAGGAAGCTCAAAGGTAGTGAGTTTTTGTTTCAATATCGGCTAGGTCCCCCAGTGGTGCCCTTTCTCACCCCTTGTTTGGCGGAGGACCTAGTAGGGGTCCCCTTTATCAGAGGGTCTCCTCAAACGCCATGTTCTATTTGAGGGTAGTCCAATAGAAAACGGACACAAACCATTCTATTTTGGGAGTGGGGTCCCCGAAACGGTGGAATTACCATGTTGAGAAGCCCCCGGCTTGGCCCCGTTGCCCCTTTTGGAGCAACAAAAAACCTGGGTTTCGCTTACACAGAAGGGGGTTGCACGTGTGTAAGCTACGGGTGGGTCAAAAGCCCTCCTGGTAGGCGCCCCGTGTTGAGTGTACCGTGGCGAAAAAAACAAAACTGCATAACCCGCAGCTGAAACCTTCTGATTCCAAGGGCCAAGAAAGTGAATTTCTGGGAGCCGTAAAGCAGAGGCTCATCAGGGTGTCATATGTGGAAACACGGTGTAGGTGTTCGCTTTATTTCCTCTCTCGAGCATTTTAGACATTTCTTTTAAATCGCTTTCTAGCGTCTGTTCAAGAACTGTTTGTGTTTCGGGGTCGGCTAAATGTGAAACAGACGCCAGCAACCCGTTTTTCGGTGCGACCTGGATTTGGCCAAAGTCAATTTCCGAGAAGCAGGGCTTTGTGTAAAGCGGAGACCTAGGGAAAGATGTTTGGCCACGGCGCGTTGAGCTGCGCGCACTGCTTGATGGTGCTGTAGGTATCATTGCTTACATGTTCAAACTGCTTGGTATGCGGGTATGTGTCAAAATAATGGAACCCCAACGAATAGTGGTTTCCTCCTGGTTTCCCACTGAACCAAACACTCAAAAGCAAACATTAGCCAACCAACCAGCCAGCCAGCCAACCAACCAACCAGCCAACCAACGTGCCAGCCAGCCAACCAACCAACCAACCAACAGGCAGACAGACAGACGGACAGACAGACCAACAAACAAACAAGCAAGCAAGCAAGCAAGCAAACAAGCAAACAAACAAACAAACAAAGAACACATAGGTTATGACCATTGTTATATCTTCACCAACCCCGTTGTGGCATTTATGAGCATACCTAACTCACTGAGGGTTGGGCATCCACTTAGCTTGTACTTTGAACCTACTTTGGGGCAGTCATGCGTCAAGGGCAAACCATGCCGTTCTGCGGCACACGTTCACTGGAGAGGAAGTTTGGCTAGAGCCAAGTGGGTGTGGCTCAAAATTAAACAACAGGGGTTACGCAGGTTTTGGGCCATGTTTCCACTTATCAGGGTTCCATTTTGGTACCGGTTTTTTGAGCCGCAGCCAAGTAGGAAGGCCACACTGCACTTGTTTGTATAGCGCTAAGCGATCTCGCGCTCGCAGAGCGTAACCCCCGATTTGCGGGCGGCACCTTCTTGAACTCAGCTGGATCCGATCCAGCGCGACACTGACTCGGATCCCGCAAGCAAATTCTACCGCCTCCAATCCGCCGACCCCAAACCACCACAGGGTCTCCTTTTCCTTCCCCTCTGATGATTTTGAGGTTTAAGCATTGCCTGTTGGGCCAAAGGTGAGCTTCCCTTTGATACTGTGGACGAAATCCATTTCACTTGGAAACCATGGTTGAAACCATTGCGCATTGGTCTTTACGTTGGGGGATCCTAGGTTTCTTCGGTGGCGATGAATTTTGTCCATCCACAGGGTGGCCAGCGTGGACCATTTTTCGGTGTCCCGCCCCGAGGTTCGGAGCGCGACCGAAGAAGAGGCGTGGCTGCGGACGAGCTGCAAAAAAAGCCTCGAGCAGAGGATCCATGTGGGCATGTCTTACGTCGCTTCCCGAGTTCCGGAACTCGTCACTCTTGGGGTTTGGAACATGTTAGTAGTGAACAAGAAGTTTGCTACTTGTTGTTTCTTTAAGGGAGTGAGAAGGGGAACCCTCAAAAGGGGCGGGTTCCTTTGGTTCCTACAACCGAAAAATGGGTACCCGCCCAAGGGGCCTCGAAACCTCGCATGATGCCCGTGAGCTTTGGTGAAAGAAGGGCAAGACGGCTTGCCACCTATTTGGGGATCCCCCTGCTTTGAGACGTACTCTTTTATATGAGCGACGGCTTTTTTTTTGCCGAAGGCTGCAGTAAAGTCGCTGAAGTACGATTGGGCGGACACAGTTGGTTGGGTTACATACTGAAGTAGCTGCAACATGGGGCCGGAACCATGCCATATATATATATATATACATATATATGCACATGTGGTTGAGATCAGAGGAAATGTGGCGACGGAGAACGCGAGCAGGAACTGAGCATGTTTAACGGAGCTTTTCTCCAGGGCCATGTTTTAACACGCTTTCCGAGCACCTCATCAGTACGAATTACCTGTCCAGAGGCTCGTGCTTGCGTGTTCAATCTGAATTCCGAGTACTTCCATTTGCTTAAGAATATTTGTTGTTTCCCCTGTTGGTTTTAAGGAAATCTATCACTGCGGACAATTGGTCATGTCCGTCTTTGTCAGATCCGGCTCTCAACTCCAGGACCGGGTCCCATGTCAATCGCGGAAGCTTTTCTCTACTCCTGATAGGTATTGTGGGTTCTACTAGATCCCCCTAACTAGGTGCCCTTTCTCACCCCCTTGTTGGTTGGGAGGGCAAGCCCCTACTAAAGTAGACAGAAAAGAAGTTGGTACCCTTATTCTAGCCTCTCAAAGTGGAGGACCTAGTCCATTTGGCACTTCAAACAGTCTCAGGACGTTGAGTTGAGCTCGGCACATGGAAGATGTCCGATCGAGCCCCTACCATGGAAGATACTCGAACAAAAGACAAGCGATGGGGACATTTTCCAACAAACTGCAGGGTGGGGAACGGTCGCAGCTGGTTCTCTGAACTCCCTGGTTTAAATCACTGGATTTGACCCCACAAGGAACTTGTTCTCCAGATGGTTGATTTCCTGACTTCTTCTTGGCAAACTATCCACGAGGATTTCTCCTT